AAAGCAATGCACTGTTAGAAACGTTGTAATAGAACCATTTACTAAGATCTCACACATACATATATATATATTGAATCATGGGCATATGTACTTACAAAAGCTTAAGTCTATAAAACATATGTTATGTAAATTATATTTCATTTCCTTTTGTATTTAATGATTAACATTTAATTTGATTTTTAATATCACTAATTTTAATCAATTCTAAGCTAGTATAAGAAATTAATTTCAGAATAAAAGGTATTTTATATCTTCTAAAAGTTTTCTTTAATTATTCATAAAAATTGGTTATTTATATATTAAATTTTTATGTTTCATTATTTTTATTATGATCAACCCTGATTTTAAATTAATTACTAAAATAATGTATTATTATAATATCATAGGTATACAATTTCTTGATTGGTAAAAAGTAATAAGAAATTCAAATAATTTACGTTTATTGAGCTGTTCCATAATTTCAAAGAATTTACGTTTATTGAGCTGTTCCATAATTTCAAAGAATTTACGTTTATTGAGCTGTTCCATAATTTCAAAATATATATATATATATTTGAGACTGCTCGATAAGATGCAACAAGTGATGAAAAGGAGATAAGCTGGCTTACTTCGACTTTAGATTAACGTTTATCTTCTCTCGATGTTAAAGTAAACAGATTCGACAGAAATATTACTCTCTCAGAGAAATGGCCAAGCTATGGGTGTATTATAAGTGTGGCAATTAATACCTCAGCCTGAATCGTAGGATGCTGCTGACTGGATGCCTTCTATCTGGTCAATAGTTAAATATTAGGGACTGAGGTAGATGACTTTAGTAGCTTTGCTGTGATAGGAAGTATCTCTTCCAGATGTACTTACTGATGAAATCAAATTCGATGACGAGGAACCCACTTTGAGACTAATAATGGCTGGAGACGGCTTAAATTGGTAATGAAGAAAAACTTTAATATAAGTTTAACATGACAGCAAAAGTAAAACGCTTCGACAAGGTTTTTTCATCATCAGGGTCATTTTTTTCCATGT